GTTGAAGTGTCAAAGATATGCGAACGTGACTCGGTTTGGTTACCTTGCGCGTGCTTCCCCTTCTTCACTAGGCGCTGACTAAAAAAGACCTGAGAAATGCGTATTCAAAAACAGTGATCATAAAAACGATCATGAATCTTCAGAATTTTTCTCCGCCTTAGAACTAAAGTCAAATAGAAATGAAATTAAATGACAGACAAAATGGCAAAGCGCCAGCGTGGCGGAACCAGCTTGGCGGAGTCAGTAGATGTTACCACGACGATGGGTAACTGTGGGATTTGACAGATTCCTAGTTATAGTGGTTTCTTCTCAAATATGACTTTAAAACACTTTTGTGCCTTCTTTGCTGGAAATCAGTACACAGTTACAGTAGGATTACTCTCCGCTATGTAGGGTCTGCTGAGGTGCGCTCTTGGAACCAAAATCGCGCCACTGGACATAACAATACTACCACATTTTGCAACCCTAATCACTAAAAGCTTTGATAACTTTAAACTTTAAAGACTGCAGGAGTGCACAGCACAACTCTTTTAAGGATCGCTTAGCAAATAAAAGGTTTGTATAGTATTTCATACAAATCTCTGTTGCTATAATCACATCTCGAATGGCCCACTATCTTTCTTCCACAATCCATTTCTTGCGATCCTTTATTTGACGGTTAAATGTTGTTTGACCGTGGTTGACCTTTTACACAATAAATAAGCAACTGTATGGCAAATAATGATATAACGAACCATTCAGAGAAGAGAATTTGAATATTTCAAGCCCTTATCACTTAGGATTCAAAGCTGTGCTTCTTTGTAGATTTCTTAAGCTTCACCATTTTCTTCCCCACATCTGTCGTCCGTTTTCTCTTATTGTATAGATTCGAGTTGTTTTTCTCGTAGTTTTATCATATTAGGATAGTCTATTATGTTCGTGTTAATATGCTTTAGCAGATGTGTTTGGTGGAAGAGGCACTTTGCAGAGAGCGGGACAAAAGGGTGCTGTCTATCCAAAGTCATGTTGTACACGGATATGCAGGCAACAAGGCTTCCGTTTTCCCGTTACAGGTGGTTTTTTTTTGCCTTTTAAATGGCTATTTCAATATTTGTGGTAAAATTTTGTGACTTTCCCTGAAGCAGACCTTCCTCGTGCTATTTCCAAGAAAGTCAGACTATTTCAGTTGAATGGTTTCGAGGTAGATCCAATCAACAGCGTACAATTCAGCAATCATGCGGGTAATATCGAGTTCTTTGGTCTACCTACAAGTGATTTCTTCATTCAATTATTTTGTTCATTGCTATGTTGTGTGCTTTGCTTCAGTTCTTTTTCTCGGTTATCAGCTTATAGCTCATTGATGGCAACCATACATTGGCTGTAATATACACATATATGTAATAGGACTTTAAAATTCAATATAAACTCCACGTAGAGTGTCTTTAATGCACTAATTATGGTCATGCTGCAGATTGTTGAACTGGGTAAGTCCAAATTATCAACCTACATGGGCTGTTGCTCCTAAAACCTGTTTGTCTTTATCAATATGAAGCGGTTTGTGGAGACAGTAAATCGAGTGATGGAGGAAGTTTCACTTGCCGTTCCTTTCTCATTTGCCAAACCTACCCCTCTTCCTCCCTTCCCCTCCCTATATAAGCTATGTTTGTTACAACTGCCATGACATGAGCCTTGTTGTCGTCGACGTGTTCACCATGCATAAGCGAACTTTTTCAAATATCTCTCGTTTAGGATACAAACACGTAAAAGGCCAGAAGCTCACTGAAGTAGAATTAACCGAACTGTTTGAAGGTCTCAAGCTCAATGAACTCGATGAGTACACCCATATTCTTACAGGTCTGACTGACACTCGTTCGGGCCTTTTTTTCTTAAATTTTCAAACATCACTTTTATGCATACATCGTTTAGAAACCTCTATCGTTTATGAAGGTAAATATGTCAGATTTTTGAACCTCTTACAGGCTGTGTGGAAAAGTTTGTTGCTAACGTTATTCTTCAATCAATTTGTGT